CGCAACGATGGTTGAAAAGAAGGTTATGTTTTCAGTCGTTGTAGGGTTGCATTGGTTACTCTGACACGTTCTTTAAAATATGGTACACAAAATAAATTAGTCCTTCCCTAAGTTCTTGTCGCTAATTAGTTCCTTCAGTTTCAATGGGTTGGCTTGCTTTTCTTGCTCTTCATCTAAGGGAATGGCTTGCATATCTTGCTCTTTGCACCTTCATTGGTTTGTCGAGCCTCTGCCTCGACCTCAAACTCCACCTTAGCCTCCATGCCTACCACTTCTCTCGATAGAAAAATTATTTTCAAGAATAGTAATTTATTGTGCATGAAAGAAAGAAGGAAAGGATGAATAAAAAGAAAGTAAGATGAGGGAAGCTATTAATTAGAATAATGAAGCAATGAAACGGATAAGGATGCATTGGGCATGAAAGGAAAAAGGAAAGGAAGAATGGAAAGAAAGCTATTACCATACATAGCTTATGTAAAGGTAAAGAATGGAGGCAAAATTGCACATCTGACAGAACTACAGAAGCTTGCAAAAGTTGGAACAAAAATCCCAATTGCTATTATTCATCACTAATCATCCAGCATTTCCAGTTTTTCCAAGTTGAACAGTTAACTAAAATTTGTTTACATGAGCCAAGAAAGAATAAGCAACAATAGCCTAGTAAAATTTGTTTACATGAGCAAGACAAGAAAGAATAGCCTCCTATGGCAATAGTCTACTAGCCTAGGAATAGCCAACAACTATCAAGAACACAAAAGAAACTCTTTTTCCTCAGGCAACATCAATATTTTTAAAATTTTTCATATATGATCATCCCAATAACAGTGATCGTTACCATAGTCAAGATATCAAAGACGAAGTCACAAGATTTATGAATTATCTTCACATTTGGAATGTTTTAGATAACTTAACTTGATGGTTCAGATATGGAAATATTACTTACTCTAAGGTTACACTTGGTTTGGGAAGGTGAGTGGTTAAGAAATGCAATAAAACTTGTAAAGAAATTGAAGATATATCTAGGAGAGTATCGAGTTTGTCTTGTATCTTGTTTCAACTGCAGCATTCTTTCACTGGTCACACTCTTCTAAGTCTTGCAACTCAATTTTGATATGGAAGTAATCCTGTTTAAAAAAAAAGTTGTATAAATGGTCAATTGTGTTTGATTGAAGCATGTATTTAACTTCTTGTTTTTACTTTTCTGATGACTCTTCGATTTATCATTTGGTGTGATGCAACCAGAACAAGCGTATCATCTGCAGCCTGTTGAACCTGGTAGATCTAGGAATGCTGCATCAATCTGTCCTGCTGACTTTTCTTTCGGGGATACCACCTGTGGGACAGGTTTAGTGTAAGTTCAATGTTTTTATAGAATGTGAAGTATATTTATTGCTGTTGCATGGGTTTCTCTTTTGAGGAATGCAATGTCAATCTTGGTACTTGATTTCTTGATTTGTATAAGTTGGAGAAATTTTGTTTTCCAAATGAACAAATACAAAAATTGAATCCTCTCATTCATACATAGCATTAAATGAGCAAATCTTGTACAATTTAGAATTCTTTGGATGACACAAGAGAAGAAATGAACAATCCATCAACAAAATTCAAAATGCAGCATATAGATAAGAAACTTAACACAAATTCCTCTTCCTAACCTAACCTTTTTTTTTTTTGGTTTAAAACCCTAGATCTCTTTGCTTACTAGTAAATATTATAAAATAATTCTATCTCTTAGAGTTTAAATTTAATCAAATATTATCCCTCTATAATTGTGGATCTTATTTTTTTGTAAATTTTAGTAGATGTTACCGTTCCACTAGGAAATCTCTAAGTAAATCTAATTCTAGTAGATGTCTATGGCAAGGTTTGGAGCTGCCAACGGGCCAGACCACCCATCAAAGACTGCTAGCCAGCGCAGATAAAGATATCTTTGTTTTAAATTGGGCCTAGCTTGGACTAGTTAAATCCCAGAACTGAATCCAAACAACACTTAACAGTAGAACCCAATAGAAAAGTAACATATCTAGTTCTTTGTCTGTGGTAAAACAAATCAATTTCCAGTTCTGAGCCTCAGGTTAAGTTACTCAAACATTAGGAGACTCATAATTAACTGACAAATACCATTGTGCAAGTGACTATGAGAGAGGCATCTTCAGGTTAAAATGGCATCTACTCAATTGGCTTCCTCTTCCTTCCAAGAACTGAAGCTCTTTGAAGCCTGGGGCCACCCATCCGCCACTTCTTAAAGGCTGCCATTGAAGACTGAGCTGCCTCATACACTACAACATACAATAAAATAACAGCAATATTTATACGTGTACAAGGCATACAAGTACAGAAGAAACAAGTTCAAACAAGAAAATGACTCACAATTGGTCTCTTCTTTTGTTAAAAGTGTCAAGAACTGGGAAGTTGCTGTGTATGCGGCAGTGTATGCCTTGGTCAAAATCTCCTTGTACCTGATCTTAAAGGCAGATAAGAGCAAAACTTCAACGGTTTTATCACCAACCCTGTCCCGTTCAAGTAGACATTAGTGAGAGTCCATTTTACTTTCCATGTGAAAACTGGTTATGCATCCGATGACAATACATGGTTATTAACATGCTAAATATTAGCACAAAGATAATTAACGAAACTATCTGGTAGCAGGTTAAACATCAAGAAGCAAGACTACTAGGCTAACTACCTCAAATGCAGTAAGGTTTACAGTTTCTTAAACACAATCAACAATGAGCATCTAATGTTCACAATTTAGTTTTTGAACCCATTTGAAGCAGTGACTCACAATAACCATCAAGTTGTTCCAAAAAATAGAGATAAGCCACAAAACACAAACTTCTGAACTCAAAATGAGGAGCCAACTTACCTATCATTATTTTAAAGTAATCTATTAAATAACTTCAATTAGAGATCTAAAAAATCAAGAAACTTGATAGGAAACTGAAACAACAATTAAGGTCAGAAAAGCATGTAGAAACTATGGAACCAAAATGATAGCATGAGTACAAAGATTACAGCTATTTAACTATGGTCCAGATCCTCTTTAGTTGGAGAATATGATGAAATGTGGCAATAAAACCAAATGATTGAGTGTGCAAGCAATCTCAGAGAACCTTGATATCCCCAAGCCACATATTTTTTTCACTTGCAAATTTACAGATGACATGTTTATGTGAAATGCCAAATTTGTGCCAAAAAAAGAAACATTCACCAATGCTTTCAAACGCACATAAGCATAGAAGAAAGAAGTAAAATGACTCTTCTGATTTGAATAACTTCTTTTCTTTGGAATAAACCAAACAACATATACAATGAACTAAAAGGCTCAGATGAGAGACTCACAGCGGCACTATCTTGCATCCAAATTCATAGAAAAATGGAGACCGGGATTTAAGATCCACACATGCTGCATCAGCTTGGATTTCCAGCCTTGTTCTGGTATGAAAAAGCACCAGCAGCCACACAAAGGGAAGAAGAAAAACAAATAAATTATGTAGTCTTTAAAACTAGATGCCGAACAACCAAATGCGTAAGTTAATCACCATGCTTCCACTGCAAATAGGACAGTTATGCAAAGAGTAATAACCATTCTGCTCAATAAAGGAACACCCAATTCAAAAACCACACATAGCTTGTGGAAAGGCAAACAATGAAGACAAGATAGCACATCTAACAGAACTACGACAGTGTGCAAAATAGAGCTTTGGAACTAAAATCCCAAATGCTATTATTCATCACTAATCATCCAGCATTTCCAGTTTTTCCAAGTTGAACAGTTAACTAAATTTTGTTTAGGTTTACATGAGCAAGAGATAACGTCAAAACAAATACACAGTACAGATAAACTCGAACACATAGCAAATGAAAAATTCAAAATGAAAAACACAAGTTTAATTCAATTTTGGAAAGGACGTCCCACACATTAAACACAAATTAATTCCCTAATACTATTTCTCAAGAACAAAATTAAAAAGTAAATTACTTTTGGTTAAAACAGGCGGGAACGCTTATTGATACAGCTTGCCTTAAGTATAATTCCTGAGCCAGCCATAAAGGTAGCTCCACCTTTGCGCCTTGTTCAACCTGATAACCAAACAGGAAAAAACCCAAAAAACAAAAAAAAAAGAAAAAACCTTTGAAAATTGGATCAATTCAGCGTCAATTCGAACTAAAAATTCAATGCCTTGAAAAGGAAAATTACAGAGTTTGTTTCAGAGCTCGGATCGATTATCACTCCGTTTGCTGATTTATGAAATACAACTGGAACAAACTTAAAGCAAAAAGAAAAAAGGAAAAATCATCAAAATAAGGAATTCAAGAATGAAAAAGCAAGCAAGATCAAGAGAAAAAAGATATTCACCTCTTCCTCAGTAAGAATATCATCAATGTTATAGTAATTTGCCATTTTTGTTCTTAATTTATCTCTTAGTTTTTCTTTGGATTCTGAAAACCAAAAGAGAAGGAACAACTTGTCATCGTCATTTGGGAGGGAAAATTAAATGGAAAGGCGGGAATGGTAATGGGCTTTTGCAGTCTGGATCTCATGGGCTGCTCATCCAAGCCCGAAAGTTTTCAAAGCCCAATGTGGCCCAATATTAAAAGCCAATTACACACTTTTTGTTGCTCAAATAAAATTATATTTATTTAGAATTTACACACATATAAATTGCATAAATGAAATATTTAAACTATATAATATAATTATATTTATAATCAATTTTTTAAAAGAAAACGATTGAGAAACGTTACCGTTTGAATTCATAATTTCTTTCTATCCCAAATGAAGTTCATAATATAGAGATTATATTAAATCCAAAAGTCATTATTTCGATAATATATTATCAACAAGATTTTATTTTTCTGTCAAAATAGGCAAGAATTTTTCATTTTGGATAAATTTGATTACACTTTCATGGATTCAGCCTTTTTCTTTAGAGATATTCCTATATTATTTTTATTATTTTTACATTAATATTTGTTTAAACTAATAATAAATATATTTAAAATTTTAATTAAAAAACCTCCATAAAAAAATAAATCTGTGGACTACATATACTAAAATTTAAACTCTTTAAGAGATAGAATTAATATTTAGTACTAAGCCTATAAATTAATTGTTTACGGTTATTCTTTGAGAGGTTAAAGGTTCCATATATACTTTCTATTAGCTCTCGACTGTTCTCTTCCACTCTGTGTAAGTTTTATTTTTTTTTGGCTGATGTTCTTGGAGATTATGATTTCTTTATGAATATATATATATATATATATTAATGTTTATTTATGTTCTTTTACAGGTCATAATCATGAATAAAAATTATGAGAATGGTAACCCTGATTGGGCTGTGGAGTACAACGATGAGTGGGAGAATGATGATGGCGATGAGTCGAAGAATGAGCATGATGAGCGCGAGAACAAGGATGACGAAGAGCAGGAAGACCATTACGATGAGTTGGAACATGGTGAGTCAGTGAAGAAGCAGGAGAATAAGAATAGATTTAATATTCTCGTCATAGTTATGTATTTGTTGTTATTCGGTTTAACACTAATTACAACTCGGAAATTCAAATCTTGTGATATTAATCCAAGATCAGAGGGCTGGTCTAAGGATCGAGCAACCTTCTTTTACGATCGTTTGGAAGCTATTAAGACCAGGAGAAATTATGAAAATATTATGTGAACGAGGCTGAGGCTGAGGTTGAGTATTTAGATCAGGAGGGCATATCAGCTCGACTTATAAGAATGTTTTTATTGTTATTAATATAATTTAGAGCTTGAATTTAAATTGAGTTGCTTTGGTGATTCTATTTATTATTTTTATTATTATTTATACATTCAAAATTTTCTCAAACTATCTAATGTTTACTCATGGGCTTTTGCCTGCTGGGTCCCATGGGCTGGCTCACACCAAGCCCCATAGTTTTCAAAAGTCCAAACGGGCCCAATGTAAAAAGCAAATTACACGCTCAATAAAATTATATTTCTATTTATAGCCATATATTTATTTAGTATTTGCACATATATAAATGCATAAATGAAGTATTTAAATTTTATTAATATAATTATATTTATAATCAATTTCTTAAAAATAAAACAATTTTTTTATATAAAATTTTGTCACATATCTGTGATTGGTTCTTATTATATTTATATATTCAAAATTTTTCCAAATTATATCCCTTCACTCATTTTTTTCCTTACATTATCCTCAAATTTTTTATTTTTTTCAATTATTTTTATAAAAAAGGGAAAAATGATTTAGCATTTGCCCTGAAGACTTTGACACGTCATTTCATCTAAAAATGATTGGACCGAGTTATATTGAAATAGACATAACAAATTTCTCTTTTCCTCGTCTTATTTAGAAAAAGTACTATAAAATAAAAATAATTTATAAAGAGGGTAGGAACCGCCATTGACGTGTACAGCCTAGAAGAATAAAGCTAATAAGGAAAGTGCACTTTTTCCCCCCGATATTTATTTTTTTTTGGGAAGATATTTTCTGCCTACTAAAAAAATAAAACTTTTTCCCTTTTTTGCCCCTTTCGATTGGAGTACGGCGTAAGATATTTCTTGTTTGTCGCTATTACCACTCTCACACAATGGTGCGTGTGTTTCATCTGCCAACTCTTTTGGGACCTAAAGATGCTTCTTTTGTCTTTTTCACTTTCCATTTTAAGACAGTTTATTATTATTGTTATTAATTATACATAAAAAATAAGATTTTTGTCATTAAAAAATAAAATAAAATAAATAAAATATTCTAAACTTATTTTTAAAAATATTTACTCCTTTGGCCTTTTTTTTGTTTATTTTTTATATGTTTTGAAACAAAGTTCTCATTTTTTTGAATTTATATATAAATTTATTTTTTATGATTTTTTATATTATATATTAAAACATTGAATATTTGAATGATTAAAGGTATTCAAATTTTTAATAGAAGATAAAAGGAAAAGGTTGATGTTGCTAATAGAATAAAAATTGATTATATATTTATCAACTCAAACAGAAAATAATTTTTATAATTATACTGATTTTATGATGTTTAATATAATAATTTTAAAGAGTATAATTAAGATATTTATTAGAAAATTTCTTATTAAATAACAATTGAATCAGTTTTTTCAAATAAAATATTTAAAATTTAAAAGCTTTTAAAGTCTAAAAGAATTAAATTTACTTTTAAAAAAACATTTTTATTGGTATTTATTTACCCAAAGATATTTAACGCACGTGAGAGACATGGCAGTTTACCTCCTCATCGGTAGAAGTAAAACAATTTGGCACACGCTTTGGTCGCGCGTTAAGTGGAGCTCCCTTCCAAGTTCCACCTCTTCCCATGGTGACCCCGCCTCCTCCAATAATTTATACCCCAAACTCTCCTTCCCCCTCTTTCGCTCTGTGCAGAGACTCAAAACCAAAACCTCAAAAACAAACAAAAATGGCCTGATCACCGTATACTTCTTTCCATGCACATGACCAAACTCAATTCCTCCTATTGAAAGAAGAAAGAAGAATCGAAAGACATGGCCAACAAGCCGACAAGCAACAGGAAGCTGAAACACCACCGGGACCGAGATTCGGAGGAAGTGGAAGGAGACCCTGAAGTTTGGGCAACGTTCGACAAGAGTTTCAAGCAGGTCCAGTCGGTTTTGGACAGGAACCGTGCCTTGATTCAGCAGGTCAACGAGAATCACCAGTCCAAGATTCCTGACAACATGGTGAAAAACGTTGCACTCATCCAAGAACTCAACGGGAACATCTCCAAGGTCGTGTCGCTTTACTCTGATTTGTCTTCCAATTTCTCCACCGTGTTCCACCACAGGAATGATGACCACAAGAATGGTGCTGGTGGTGGCAGGATTGACTAGTAGAAGTGGGAAAGGGCTGAATTTTGATGGAGCAAAACACAAAATGTGTGAACTTTTGTCATGTCCTTAGTTATCATTACTGATTCTATTTTGTTGCTGTGGTTCTTTAGTTATCTTTTCTATAATAAAATAAAAAAAATAATGAAGGGTTTTTAGGTATTTAATGTGTCTTGTTGGTCTATCCAAGAATAATTGCTTGTGTCCTGTTTCATGTTTGTGATTTGTGTTCCAAGAACATTGTTGAGATAATGTCGGGATAAATGTTTTGTTTTGTTATTATGAGTTGGTCTCTAATATTCATGTGATTTTAGTTGATTTTCTGTGGCGGATTTGTAGTTAAGAGGTTTCAAAAATTGATGCTTCAAATAGGAATATTTATCATTTGCAGATATATGTATAACTGAATTTGGTGGTCATGGGAATTTAGACTCTTGTTATATTTAAGTTCACAAGATATCCCTGGTGATGCATAGCGTTATGTGTAGAATCTTGTAAGAAGAGCTTGTATGGTTTGGTTGGAGATGAAGATTCAGTGTCTTGTGAACCCTGGAACAAAGGCTCTGTTTTTCCAGAACATTTTCACAGCAAATATAGGAATCTTAACATGATTCATTAAGGAAGCAAAATGGCATGGCAGGTGAAGCTTTTAGTAATGAAACTTTGACCTCTTTTCGTCATTTGTTGATGTAAAGTTTCTTCTAAATCCTAACAAGCTATCACTCCCCTTGTTTACCATGGCAATGGGGTTGATGGCAGGTGAAGCTTTTAGTAATGAAACTTTGACCTCTTTTCGTCATTTGTTGATGGAAAGTTTCTTCTAAATCCTAACAAGCTATCACTCCCCTTGTTTACCATGGGAATGGGGTTGATTCAATTTTCTCTGTTTCCTTCCACAACACAGAAAGAAGTAATCAGTGGTGAACTACAGTGGTAAGACTGAAGACTTCCGATCCAGTATAAACCTGTGTGCAGTGACCTTATTTTGTTGGCTATGACAATTTATTTGCAGTTCTGGGGAAACCAAATAGGTGACTTCATCACCTTGGCATGCCTTTTCTGGTTGAAGGAAGATAAAGAATCAGCATATTGTTTCTATTAGGAAGAATATTGTAAACAGAGTGATCCCATGGAAATTCAACCGATTACAGTAAAGCACAAAAGTAAAGATATGAAGGAAATATCTTCAAATCAAAATAGGGTTCTGGGAATCTTAAGTTTTTACATTTGCTTGAAAACAACGTGTGTTATTATATAGGCATCTCACCACTGTCTACAATGACAACTTTACTTTTCGGCACCCCACTCTGTCTTCCTTCGCCTTCAATCTTGTAGACAACGTCCATTCCAGCAAGCACCTTGCCAAATACAACATGACGTCCATCCAACCTTTCAAGGGAATCAATGGCATGTGTTGTGAGTTCAAGAAAATCTCAAAAGATGCCTTAGAAATGCAGGTTTAATGAAAGGCAATGCTCAATGTGAACTGCCCTTTATGCAAATTTATGAATCTGCAGCCACAATGTGGAACTGCGAAAAGCTCATGCGTAAAATGGAAACAGGATTGACACAAACAACACTCACAAGATAAGAAAACTGATGTTCCTCATTTCCACATCTTTCACAAGGAAGAAAAATAGACAAAAAGTCACACAATGCTATAAACTTAAATACATGGTATGAAGCCAAATAAAATACCAGCTGGTTGTTACGGTTGTAATGAAGAATTGTGATCCATTGGTGTCTGGCCCAGCATTGGCCATTGAAAGCAGTCCTATTCAACAATGAAGAAAATTTTGAAATGTAAAAGAACATATTTACTACAGGCCTCCTTGCCATTTTGCAGCATTCAAGTACAATGTAAGACCAATTACTAATACCTCTTTCAGAAAGAAAGCAATGAAGGAAATTTATAAGGTACACAAGGATCAGAACTTACCAGGTCCATCATGCTTTAGTTTGAAATTCTCATCAGCAAATTTTTCACCATAGATTGACTCTCCACCACGTCCATCGCCGCGAGTAAAATCACCACCCTGGATCATAAAGCTGGGAATAATTCTATGAAAGGTGCTCCCTTTGTAATGGAGACGCTTCCCACTGTTTCCAGTTCCTTTCTCCCCTGTGACACAAGGGTTAGGGATGAATATAAGTGGGCAGTTATAAGTAGTAAGTTTCTCCTAGATGACTAGGCAGAGCAAAGAATACTTAAGCAAAGATCAACCTTTTAATTAATTAAGGCAATCATGTTCGTTCACAAACTAAACTTTCGAATCCCACATGTTACATATGTCTTGATTTTATAATCCCATGCATCTAGGTTCCATATGGCATTGCCAAAGACTGCCAGGATCAGACAGACATTTTTGCATTAACGTTACAGTGCTGAATTATGCAAAGATATGTTGCTTTTATGATCAAATATCCACAACTGATGAAAAGATCGTCCCTTCATTACACCATACTTTACTAAACCACAGGTATTCTATCAAGACATTATTCTGACTGCTTCGTATTTGTGAGAATTAAGTCATGTTACTTGGAGAACATACTTTATGAAATTGTAGTAGCAGCACATACAAAGCCATAAAGTTATAACATATTAAGGGAGCAAAAGTTACTTGGCTACCCGTGCAAAGGGCTCGGAAGTTCTCTGCAAAAAGAAAAAAAAACAAATTATGATTAGTAAGTGCATTATCTTTTCAGGAAAAAGAAAATCAAAGGACTTCAAAGGTTCTTGAGCAATGTACCTGCAGTTTTGGGAACAGTTTTCCCAAATAGGCCCATGACTATTCGACCTGAAAGAAAAGAACCATGAACATATGATAATTCTGTGAGAGTATCTATTGGACCTTCTAAGCAATAACAGTGAAAAAGCATAATGCGAACATTTTCTTACTAGTTGAAAAGGTGTAGAATAAAAAGAAGGAAAAACGACAGCAAAAGGAAATAGAAAGCAAATTTGAATAAACATTAATCATAGCACGCATGCAAAGGAATATAATTAGTTAACCATTTCCATATAAAATTTCAACTAACTTGTCCTAATCTGCTTTGACAAAGATTTAACTCAACCCATACTGCAGCAAAGGAAAATCTTTATGTTGTTAGATGAATGCTTTGTTTCATCAACTAATCCTCCTATCATTCTAACTGACGATTGCATGTTTCATTTCAAGAATCCAAATTTATAATTCAACAATAAAGAGTCTACTGCAGAAAGACTAATGCAGCAATAAAGCCTAAAAGCCTACTAATACATAAAAAGAGATGGTGGGACAATTAATTAAGGAATAAAAATGGAAACTTTGCAATAAGCACTAGAAATATTCAGCTATTTAACCCTAATCCCATTTTTACAGAAAACAAAAACAAAAGCATACCAGCAGATTTTCCATCGATCTGGACGTCAAAGTAAACTTTATGTGTGACTTCTTCTGAATCATCATCAACTACCTGAAAATACATTATAAAAAAGACCAAATTCAATTCAAATAAATATAGCCAATAAATTGATAAAGATAAAAAAACCAAATTACATGAATGAATTAGCAAACCTGATTGAGCTTGGGTTCTGAAATTCCACTATCGCTTAACCGATTCTGAAAAAACCAGCAAAATAAAGGGGAAAGAAATCATTTTTGCTCTTTCTTTCTTTGAGAAGAAATAAAGAGGAGGCAAAAGGGTACCTGAATCAAAGCTAAGGTTCCAAAAAGAACTAGAATCCACAATACAGCTGCCGCAACCACTCTTGTTTTGGTCGCCATCTCTGCTTCTGTTTCTCAGCAGCTTCAATGGGGGGAAAAGATTGGGGCTTTTTGACTTGTGCAGTTAGTAGATTCTTCTAGCAGGGAATCTTGGATTTCATTCCTCGGGAAGTTCAGTTGAAAACTGGCTGTTGGGTAACTTGGCTTGTCATGTTATGTTTCTTCGTCTGAAAGAAAACCATAAAAATATGGTAGTTGGTACTATATTTTTATTAAGTACTATGAATAATATATCTAATAATAAATTAATTTATATAGTAGCAGTAAAATCAAATTTTTGCAAAGAAAAAGTTTTTTTTGATAATTATTCATCTTTGTATTGACTTAATTTACTTTTTGAAAAATTTTGAGGATGTATATCTCGTATAGATTTGATATATGTAAGATTTTATTCTTTGTATAAACATCGAAGTTTGATTAAAAAAATTATTTAAAAAAATTATTATAAAAATAGATTTTTTTAGAGCAAAGACTATGCTATAGCCTACAACAAATACAAGGGATATACCAAGTTGTAGCACCAAAGTAAAAGAAAGGAAAAAAAATTGTGGTCCAAATCAACAGCATCAAGCTAAAATTACAGCCAAGAGCAATCTAAGCAGACAATCTTTCATTCAAGCCCCAACTTGTGGCAAAGGAGCTTGTTTACAGGTTTATTATTTGGTACATTTGAGAATGAGAGGCAAATCAAGCAGTGAAAACAGTAAAAACAGTTGGGGTCTTGCTCTTGCAATGCCAAGGATCATACAGCTTCAAAAAATTTGCTCTTCTAGCCCAAGAAAACTCTTGCCTTCCTCTCTTCATCTCCCTCTCCACCTTGAAGCTTTATCTGTGATGTCTTGCTGCATTCTTCAGGGTCATGTTTTCACGTTTTGGCAAATCCAAGGATGATCTAAACAAAGATAACAAAAGAAAAGATACTATGAAATTTTGGGCTTCATCAGTTCACTTTAAAGCAGCAAAGCATACTAACTTTAAGCTGAATGCCAGGTCCTCAATTTGCCAAGCAGCTAAGTTAATTCAAATTATTTGTTTATATTGAGCTGCAGAATCTATAGAAAGTTCACACTTACTTAACACTGCTCCAGCGGTCAAGCGTTCTGAAGGTCGAAGGCATAACGTTTTTCGGATTAAGTCCTTTGCACTGTCTGATATTTTAGGCCATGGCTCTGATTCAAAGTCAATATGCCCTTTCAATGTTGCATCAAATTGTGCTTGAGTTGTTTCTGAAAGGTTAAGCAGAATGAATTTCCAGCATTTGGAAGACATTTTAGAATAGAAAGAAAAAGCTTTGTTTTTTTGCCATGACTTTCATGCTTTTTAACAGTAAATTTTTTGGGAGTGATTGTTGCAGCATAGCATATCATGGTTCATAAGCAAATACCTGCCCAGAATGGTGGCACACCACTTAGCAGTATGTAGAGTATAACCCCTACAGACCATACATCTGCTTCTGGTCCATAATAGTTGTTTAGTACCTCAGGAGCCACATAATATGGACTCCCGACCCTGTCAGTAAACACTTGGCCTAAAGTAGCAAAGCAGCACCAATCCACAGACAATGTTAAAAGAACTTGATTCACTTGCTACTAATTCATTGTTAAATTAAGAATATATGTATGTTCCTGACCTGGTTCAAAGAAGATAGAGTATCCAAAATCAATGGCTTTGAGAGAGAAATCATCATCTCTGTTTACCAACATGAAATTTTCTGGCTTTAGATCTCTATGCATAACCCCAAGTGTATGGCAGGCCTCAATCACCCCAACAATTATCTTTACCAATTTAGCTGCCTCTCTTTCACTGTAACATTGGCTTCTCTTTTTTATTCGGTCAAACAAGTCACCTCCAGAACAAAGCTCCATTACAATATGCACATATAAAGGATCCTCATAGGCACCTTTGATCTCCACAATGTTTTTCTGACCTGCCAAATGCTGCATTATCTGGACCTCTCTTCTAACATTCTCCGCAGCGTCCTTGGAAATCAAATTTGCTTTCAGTATAGATTTACATGCATATTTAATCCCAGTTGCAATCTCAGTACAAACAAAAGTAGCCCCGGATTGTCCTTGTCCTAGCTTCTGCCCGAACATGTAAAGGTCATGAATATTAGGAGTTTTATGGCCTAAAATATGATGAGCCTGCAGGCTGTCAATGTTGTAACTTATCCTGACAGGGTTCTTGTTGAGCTTGGAACTGGAAAGTTTCTCCTTTGTCATATCGTAGCCCTGACGAAATTCTGACCTGAAAGATCCAATGCATGTGTTTCCCATGAAACTGATGACAGAATCAAGTTGATGCTGCAACATGGGCAGAACTACTGGCCTTGGATTAGCTCTCTGCCTTCAATGTGAAGGTTGATGATAATTAATGGGCAAGATATTTATAGTATTACCTTCACTTGCTTAAATATCACAACATGCAAAGCAGATGAAGTGGGAAACTTAATGTAGTACAGTTCCAAGTACTGCGAAAAAGGAAAAAAAAGGTAGTACAGGTCAATGTTCTTGAAGTTAATTATCAGAACCCGATACTTTTGCTGTTGGCAGCACTTCCTCTTCTCGGCAAATTTTGTAGGTTTTTGGAAAACTTTCCTTCTACTGATGGGGAAATCCTGGGTTCTGATGTTGCTTTTATCTGGTTGTTTTCTTTGTAAAGAAGTTAAGGAGTTCATTGGAAGGACTTAACAAAGTCTGTAGTTGTCGATGATAACAGTGCTCTTCTTTTAGTTCTAATTATTCTTTGTCATCTTGGGAGTTTCACAAACAAATGCGGATGTTCCTAAGATTAGAAAGTAATGTTTCTTGTCTTTCCAAGGATCTTAGAGGTTTCAAAAACTTCTTTTTTACGAGGCTGCATTGACTCTCAATTGACTTTAAATGTTGAAGGGGACTAATCAACTCTCTCTGTTCCAATAACTGATTCATCAACTAGCCGAATGAACTCCGGTGTTTGCATCATCTTACAAGACAAAGATATGCTTTCATCTGCATTTTTCGATTGTTATCTGATATCTGTCCTTGCATTTTCATTGCTGATACTTGGCAAGTTGGGGTGTTTCATAGTTTCAGTCCCGGTGTAGCTTCATAGCAGGAAACTTTTCTTGATCAGGAAGTAGAGCTGAATCCAGTTCCTCATCCAGGAATCCATTATGGCAAATCCAAGGATGACCTAAAACAAATCAAAAACCAAAAATCTTGAGAATGAAAGTTGCAGAAGTTTCAAAAAAGAATAACACAATCATTGATTAACATCAGCTATGAAAATCAGAGATAGAAATGGCATACTTAGCACTTCCTTAGCAGTCAAGCGTTCTGAGGGTTGAGAGCATAACATCTTCCGCACTAGGTCTTTTGCACTGTCAGATCTTTGGGGCCATGGCTCTGATTCAAAATCCAATACTTGTCCTTCCAGCACCATATCTAACATTTCCTTTTCTGTTTCTGAAGTCCATAAAGAAAACAAAAAAAGAAAGAATTTAATGCATCCTAGTAGTCAACAAAGAAAAAACTTATTACTGTTCTTGCTGTGGTATGATCTTAACAGAATAACAGCAGCAGCAAATCATTGCCACTGTACCTGCTTCAAACGGTAGCATACCACCACTCAGCAATACGAACAGTATAACCCCTGCAGACCATATATCGGCTTCTGGGCCGTAATTCTCATTAAGAAGTATCTCTGGAGCTGCATAATACAGGCTTCCTGCACTATCATTGAAAACTTGACCTATGACAGAAAACCACAAAATATCAGCCTATTATCTGTGAATATCAATTAACGAGGCAATTGCTTGTCATGCAAGCAACGATGTCAACCCTATACTCACAACAACACATAATTATGCATCGAATTTTTGAAAGTTTGCTTTTTACATGAAAAATCATTATCTCGTGTCACCAAAAGACTACTTCAAAGTCTTTTGACTTTCAAATAAAGATTTATACTGTCAAAATTAATAAACAGATAGCTACTTGTCAACTATATATCAAGAACATGAGAAAGCTGTAACATGTTTCATAACATTATGATGTTAATATGCTTTAGATACATTGGTTCTAGACCTAAATATATATATATATATGTACACATACATACATACTGCAATATCCATGGTTGCAGCTACTTAAACTATCCCTAATTTATTCAAAAAGTTGCAAGCCTAAGTTTTTCACTCCCTAACT